TCGGTAGCAGCCACATAAAAAACGGCATCAAGCATGAGGCAGTTCAGTGTTCAACAAATAAAGCACGAAAACAGGCTTGACAAGGACCATGTCTACATCGGTAATCAGCTGCTTCTATTCAGGCTTGTCTCAGATCAGATAGCGGACCAGTTTAAGAGACCGAAAAACGAAACGCGTGTAGTCTTGAGTGCGCGGATAAAGGTGTGTCAAAAGAGAACGTGTGAATGAATTTTTCGCCGTGAAACTGTTGTCTATCTATAAAAGGGAGAGAAACTGTGAAGCATTATGATTAACAGAGAAAGGTGAATCAAGAGCCACAATTTAATGATGGAATTGATCCATGAATAAATAAAAACAGAAACCGCTGAAACATTGTCTTATTTTTGCGATAATATAAGCTTTGTTTACTGTCCGAATTTTTACCAATCGGGTATTCTGATGTCCGATCATCAGTCAATGTTCATTTGCAAAAAGAGCGTAGAACTTCGGTGACCTTGAACTCACAAGCAACGCGCCTACTCAGATTGGATCGATTCGCAACTGCTCTTCATTTGCATGCCACAGGATTGGAGAATAATTGTTTTCAGTGTCGCAATCACGTGATAGGAAGTCAAACGCAAAGATAGAAAGAGACAAAAATAGATACTGGAGATAAACTAAAATGATGAATCTGCCTTATTTTTGCGGTAATATAAGCTTTGTTTACTGTCCGAATTTTTACCAATCGGGTATTCTGATGTCCGATCATCAGTCAATGTTCATTTGCAAAAAGAGCGTAGAACTTCGGTGACCTTGAACTCACAAGCAACGCGCGAATAGGAAGTCAAACGGAAAGATAGAAAGAGACAAAAATAGATACTGGAGATAAACTAAAATGATGAATCTGTCTTACCGGTATATGTTTCTCTTTGCTTCAAAAAAGTCGTTTCAAATATGCATCTAAGACAAGAATATGTAACTCGAGTAACATGATTTTAATTTGATAGGATGCTCAAAAAGAGAGTATGCCGGAAAGAATATCGATCGCCTACGGTTTATGGAGCGGTGGCCAAAGTTGTAAAAGCGAATCATAGCTTGATTCGTGGGAATTTGTAACAGTTTTAATTCTGCCAATCGGGTTCGCATTTGGAGTGCGAAGAAACCTGCGAGAATCAAACAATTGACGTTAGTCGGATTACGGAAGTTGACCAAATGAAAGCGTTTACGGAGAAAATATATCGCAGACTATGTAATTCGACAAAACTAATCGCCATTATCGATTCGGTTGGACTGCATATATATATATATATATATATA